TTCCCCCCCCTCCACTGTTGGTTCGGGGCTTTGGTGGTGGCGGTCCACGAGCCATAGGCAAAGGTCGTCGTTTCGCCCTTTGTTGCCGTCTTGTAGGGGTTTTTTGCCAGTCCCTGCCTTGCTGGCCATACCGGCCCTGCCCCCGGCATTGCCGTCACTACCCCTGCCCCCCTCCCCTCCTCGCTCCTCTCCTCTTCCTCTTCCCCACCCTCTAGTACACTCATACACATCCTCTGCTTGGGCTACGAACTAGCAGGTAGGCTACAGCTGGCGTGTAGCTGGAGCACCTGTCCGCACCCCCCCCCCCCCCCTCCCTCTCTCCCGGACCACCCCCCCCCCCCACCCACCCACCCACCCCGCAGACACACACACACACACAACGCAAGGGACTGCTTGGGAGTCGGGCAATGGAGGGACTCAATCTCGACATCAAGTCGGCGGCGGATGCTGCCGAGGTGTTTGGCATGGTGGAGGCCATGTCGCTCTGCTTCTTGCCGGAGCTTGTCTCGTCGTCGATCTATGAGACGACGACCACGTCCAAGACCCATGCCAAGAAGCTCGGGGCGACGGCGCGCGAGCTCAAGGCTGCGCTCAAGGATGCGCAGGAACATGTGGCGTCGTATGTTGATGCCGCGACGATGACCAAGGGCACGTCGACGTACGCGCCGGACGCGTCCGAGCTGACCTCGTCGCTGGAGGCTGTGGTGGCGTCTTTAGCGGCGGCGGCGTTGCAGCTGCAGCGCAAGGCGGCTGCCGAGTCGATTGTCAAGCTTGGCCTTGACGCGCAGCACCGCGAGGACGGCGTCGGTACGGCGCTGACCAAACTCTTTCTCACCGTCGCCATCTTTGCGGTCGGCCCGTCGAAGCTCGCGGCCAAGCAAGTGCTCTCAACGCTCGACGCTGTCGGCGATGAGGTCACTGGTGCGTTTGAGCTCTTGTGGCAGGCAATGGCCAACACGCCGGCCACGGCTGGAGCCGGGGCTCACGCTGCAGAGCCGGGAGCACTGCCGGCCCCGGGCACGGTGGTCTCGTCACCCAACGCGGGACAGCGCAATAGCGGCGCCGGCGGCAGCGGAAGCGGCAGCGGCGACGGCGTGCTGTACGCGGTCTTGGGTGCACCCGATGCTGGCATCCAGGCGGCGGTCGAGGGCGTTGTCACCGAGCTGGTGCGTGTGGGCAAGGAAATTGGGCGTGTGGCGCTCAAAATCATGGAGCTCGGCGTTGAGCCGTTCGAGCTGTTCCTGGCTCCGGGCGCAGGGCATCCGTTTGTGCAGCTCTGGCGCAAGCTCGACGGCCTGCTCGCCGACTTTGCTATCAAGGGTATGGCGGTGCTGAAGGAGCTGGCGCTTGTGGCGCCGACGCTGGCGCACCAGGAGTTAACCCGACTGCAAGGGACGCTGGAAGGTACGGTTCACATTTCGTCGTCGCTCAACACGGTGCTGCGGCAGCTGGAGGGCCTCTACCACCAGTACCGTGTGCTCAAGGCATCCAACGCAGGCGCGGCGACAACCGACGACGCGGCCCAGCTTGTGCAGGGTCTGGCGGTGCGGGCACGCCGGGTGATGGACATCATTTCGTCGACAACGTTTGAGGAGATCGACACAACGGCCCACACCGCTGAAGTCCGGTCGCTCATCCAAGAGTACGCTCGGGCGGTGGCGTCCAACTCGAGCCCGCGGTCCGAGTCGGAGGAGGCCGCGCACGTCGACTCGTTCATCGAGCAGCTCATTGCGGTCATCCGGTCTGTGGTCGGTGACTTTGAGATCTCGCTCATCAACAAGATCAATGACGTGCTGCTGCAGTACCCGCACCTCATTGCCATTGTGGACCAGTCTGCCGCGTCGGGCTCGGACTCGGCGTCGACCATCCAGCGAGTTGTTCGCAAGTGGCTCTGCTCCAAGGAGCCGATGAAGGAGCAGTTCCCCAAGGCGTCAGCCGTCGACTTTTTCGACTCGTGGCTCGACGGCACCGCCCTCGTCCGTCTCCTCAACGAGAGCCACCCGGGCCTCGCCGCAGCGCTGCCGAGCCCCCCGACCGCAAGCGGGCTTAACCGCTCGACCGAGATCCGCCTCGCAAGCCTCGACGCGGTGGCCAGCTCCGAGCTCATCGCCTACCTCTCGGCCCTCAACAATGCGCTTGGCTCGCTGCCAGGTCTTCCGCTGGCGGGCTTTGCGCGGCTAGTCCACGATGAGTCGATGCCGGTGGTTGACGCCGCCACCCGCTGGTCCCCGCTTCGGGCCCACTGCCTCACCGCGGTGCTGATGATGCTGCAGGTTCATGAGCTCGGTCCGGACGCCATCAAGGCGCAGCTCGACGTGGTCCGCCACGAGCACGTCCACGACGACGACGACGACGACGACGCGGGCGAGGCTGATGGCAAGCACACCAACGGGCGCAGCGCTGGATTGGGCTCGGGTGTCGCTGCTGACACTGCGGGCGCTAGCGCAGCAGCGAGCAGGGTGTCGATCGGCTCGTCGTCGACGTCGCCGATGGCCTCGCCGCGGTCGCCGCGCGACGCGCCAAGCAGCTCGGAGAAGCCCAAGCCGCTCAATTTGACCAACGTGGTGGCGGCGCAGCGGCGGCCGTCGGTCGACCGCGCGTCGCCACGGATGAATCCCGAGTCCTCAGACGACGCCATCCTGCAGGCCTCGGTCACCGTCCTCCACGCGGCTAAGAAGCTCGTCAACGCGCCGCCCAGCGGCCTGCTCAAGCAGGGCAAGGAGCTGCACATGTCTCTAGTCGGCCTCCGCGACCTCATCCTCAACCAGGTCAAGGTCCGATCGGATCCGTCGTACAGCGAGACGAACAAGCGGATCCAACGCCGGTGCAACGTGCTCTTCGACTCGGCCACGTCGCTGCTCAAGGCGTGCAAGGTCGATGCGCCCGCCGACGAGCGAAAGGCAATCATGTCCGGCATGGCCGACGCCGTCTCGTTCATCACTTCGCAGCAGGTCTCGATCAAGTCCATCCGCTCGCACGCGCGCTCGGCCCTTCTCCTCGCCAAGGACATCAAGGCGCTGAACGCACCGGACAGCCACATCGCCGACCAGTTTTCGGCCGCGGCTGCCGCCTTTTCGCGCGCCGTCTCCACGCGCGTTCTCGGCATCGGATCCTCAGCTTCGGGCATGGCGGTCCTCGACCTCCTCGACGACGTCGACGCCAAGGCTGCCGACTTTGCCGCTGCGGCAAGCTCGGACATTTCGACCGCGCGGGCCTCGTCCGACGCGTACTCGTCATCGCTGGCGGCGCTGCTCTCGGCGCTGACCTGAGCGTGCTATGGTGTAAAGAGTTGCGTGCGACTAGTGTAGCTGTTAATTGTATAGCCTGAGCTTGCTCTCGCTCTCTCTCTCTCGCTCTCTCTCTCTCCCTCAGCTCAGCTCACGATGAGTAAAAGTCCATCTTGATCCAGTCAAAGTCAAAGACCTCGGGCATGCCGGTGTGGGCAACCGACGGCCAGTCAGCCCAGGTGAAGGGCGGCTGCTGGTCGTGGGTCGGCCCCGACTGGGCGTAGCCGACGGCCGAGCCGTCCTTCATCAGCTGGTACGAGGTCATCTTCGAGTCGATGCCGCCAAAGGCGTTGTGGATCAGCCACTTGTTGTGCGGGTACGGGCGGGTGACGAGGTCGAAGCGCGACGAGATGGAGAGGCCGGCGTTGGGCACGCCGTCGGGGCCGATCGACGCCGGGTCATTCTTCCAGTCGTTGTAGCGAAGGAGGGCACCAAAGTCGTCAAGCGTGGCGATACGCGACTCGTTGCGAGCAAAGATGTGGGCGCGCGACGCGTTGTTGCGCGAGAACAGGTACGGACCCCACTCGGCGACGGCAGCCGGGAAGCCCGACTCGACGTAGTTGACCGAGTTGGCTGGCACGTTGTACGAGGGCCAGTACGTGCCAGCAGCGAGGACCGGGGTCAGGTCGCGAGTAAAGAACGCCTTTGGGTTCTCTTCGGCCATCCACAGCGTGTTCGGCTTGAGCGGCTGGCCCGGAGTGAACAGGTTGTAGTCGACGACGAGCCACTGGTTGAGGTACGTCGACGAGGTGTGGGTGGTAAAGGCCTTGACCCACTCGGGGCCCGAAGAGGCCATGCGGTTGGCGACGATGGTGCGGATCCACGAGAGCACGCCCTTGGTAGGCGTGATGTACTTCCACAGCTCGGCATTGAGGTTGCCGTTGGTGGTCTCGGTCGTGGCCAGCCGCGACGACATAAAGTAGATGTCGTCGATCGAGTTGAGCGCGCCCGGGTAGGACGAGAACGAGACACGGACGGCGGCGGTCGAGGCGGCAGCAAGCGGGAACGAGTACGACTTGTACGAGCGGAGCATCGAGTTGAAGGTCGACCACGTGGTGTGACCCATAAACAGCTCGGCGTTGTCCGGCATGACCTTGATCAGGGCCGAGCAGTGGTTGCCAAAGTCGAGCTTCTCCTCGCCCACCACCGACTGGATGGTCTCGATGTCGCCGTTGGCGGAGAGCGCCCACACCTCGAGCAGGCCGAGCTGATGGGCCTCCGGGGCAAAGTGCTGGTAGCCTTCGTAGAGGCCCATAAACTGGCGGAGAACAAGATGCACGTGGTTCCACCACACCGAGCTGTTGGCGTTCTGCCCCGCAAGCTCAAGAGTAGCCTCCAGATTGGCCTCGAGGAAAGCGTTGACCTTGCTGGAGAGGCCATCGCCATACTGGTTGCGGAACGAGTAGTACATAGACTCGTGCGAGAGGTAGGCCTCGAGAAGACCGGCAGCATACATCTGGACATCATCCGGGTATCCCTTGGTCGTCACAATCTCCAGCTGGTCCCAGCCCGTCGAGTTGAGGTAAGGAAGGAGGTAGCCGACCGCCACCGCATCCGCCGCCTTGCCGCTCTCCACCGCAAAGCCGTCCGTCCGCGTCTGCACCACCGAGTACCACGTCTTGCCGCCCTCACCAGCCACGCTCGTCACCACCATAGCGGCCACAACAGCCATTACCACCCATGTCTGCATATTTTTGCTTCTTCTGCGAGTTGGGTCTGTCGATGTTCGTCGCCTCCCTCCCTCCCTGCCCCGCCCCGCCCCGCCCATCCCTACGCCGCTCGCTCGCCATGTCGCCCACTCGGCCGTCGTCCGACGCAAATTTGTCGCGTTTGGTCGTTCGACGGCGCCTACATATTGGCTAGTGCCCGCCCGTATGGACCGCTACGATTTTGGCCCACCACCGCCACTGGCTGGGCACAATGGCATGGGTGTGGGCAGTGGGTGCATTGGGTGTGATGATGGCCCATGCGGAAGGGAATCGATCCTTTCAATCGGCGCCATAGCTATGGTCGTGGTGCTCGACCGAGTCAGGATGGGCGAGATGGCCGACGTAGCGCCGATCGTAGCGGAGTCGCAGCTCGTGGTGGCGGACGGCGGCGCGCTGGCGGGCGGTGAGGCCGTCGACGTTGGCAGAGTCGGCCAGGGCTTGATCGGAGCACGAGTCCAGAGCAAGGACGCGATCGATGACTCGGCCCGGGAGGTGCGGCCAGCAGGCGGCAAGCTCGAGCGGGTCCAGCACGTCGGGCTTCTTCCCGGCAGTCCGGGCAGCATGGGCCGCAAGCGGATCAAATCCCTCGACGCCGATACCAAACCGCGGGTCATCCGTCACGTCGTAGACGTGCAGCCCGATGGCAACGTATGCCTTACGTCCGTCCCCTCCGTCGGCTGCGGCCAGCTCGTCCAGCGAGACGTCGACCAGAGCCTCCTGGATGACGGCGGCCATGGGAACCGACTTTGCAAAGAACAGGCGATATGCAAGGTAGACGAGAATGAGGCCGACAACAGCAACCTGCGCAAAGATCAGCTTCATCGGCATATCGTACACCACATCCGACTGATCCGAGGAGAGGCACGGTGAGTGTGTTTGTCAACAGCCATGGCGACCTCCACGCTATCCCGCACGGCAACCATCATCATCATCATCAGCAGCAGCAGCAGCAGCAGTATCAAGATGACTGACGCTACTGCCATCGCTATCGGCGTTGTGGTCGCCGATGCCCAGTCATCGTCCCCCCCCCCTAATAAAAAAAAC